GGGCAGATAAGTATTTCTTGTTCTCAGGGCTCTTTTTCCCTGTTCTCGGGCATGTTGCCTCTGCCTTGGGTCCCACCTTGGGAGGCCGCTCCGGTGCCTCCATTTTTATTCCCCTGGGACAGTATGATAACATTTTGGAATTATCATGTTTTCCAGTAGTTAGCCAATATAACCTTCCTCCTGTTATCTTTGTATTTCCTCTCCCCTTTCCTGCTATTGTTTTACATTCACTTCTGCTTCTGTTTCTTAAATCAGGTGGATGCTCTTTGTGTGCCCAGTGAGCATTCACAGAGGGAGACCTCAGTCCTAACTTAGGAACTCCTATAATAGATTTTATTTTAAGGCAACTTGAACATTACTACAAGAATTTAAGCTTTAAACTAAGTTAGCTCAAAATGTTTACATATTTTTGTGGCAGAGCACCTTTGGGGTGCTCGCCACTTTAGGGCTCTCATAGGCTCTGAGGGGAGCCTGTTTGGAGGAGTAGCAGGGGAAACATCCCCCATGTACCATTTAAAGGGGGAAGGTGTGTGGCAGGGCACTGTTGGTGCCTGCCACTGTAAGACTGGGACCAAGTGGCCAGCAGGTGCTTAATTGTGGCAGCCATTTTAGAGCTCTGGCCACCCATATTAACAGGGCAGTTCACTGCTAGAGGGGAGGCAGCAACATTGCCTGGCTGCAAGACTGCTTGTATCATCTTGGAGGTAAGGGAGGAGCTTTAAGGGATGGTTAGGAGGCTCCTGGTCTTGGGCATGACCTAAAACTGTGCCCTGCTGGGAGCAGGTGGCCTGCTGGGGCTCTCAGTGGCACAGTAACCCCCAGGAAATGCCAGGCCAGTGATCACCCTGGTGAAAGGCGAGAAGGGGCACCTTAACCCTAGCACACACCTTCGGGTGGGTTTACGTAACATCGGGGAGAGTTAGGGCCAGGCACAGCTGCAGCCACCTGAGCCCTCTGCGGGGTGCAAGACCCGAGAGACCCTGAGGAGGGGGAGTGGGGGCCAGGCACAGCTGCGGCCACCTGAGCCCCCTGCGGGGTGCAAGACCCCTGAGAGACCCTGAGGGGGGGAGAGTGGGGGCCAGGCACGGCTGCGGCCACCTGAGCCCTGTAGGGTGCAAGACCCCGAGGAGAGAGAGTGGGGGTCAGGCATGGCTGCAGCCACCTGAGCTCACCGGGGAGGGAAGCCCCATGGCCCCAAGTGAGGGGGCAGTGATGAGAAGCCCCAAGTGAGTGAGGCAGAGATGAGTAGCCCCGAGTGAAGGGGGCAGTGTGGAGTCCCGAGTGAAGGGGGGCAGAATATAGAGAGCACAATGATATGCTGCTCCAGGGGGGAAGGAGAGGCCCTGTGAGACCCTGGAACACCAGTCATGGTGTAAGTTACCCTAGCTTCTACCACTGGGTGGGTTAACTCCTAGCAGGCACCAGAAGGTGGACCCAAGAGAGCGAGGGGGCTAGTGGCAGAGGCCTGAGGTAGAATACCTTCAACTGGTCAATGCTGGGGCCAGGACCAGTATGGTCAAAAGGGCCAGGGGCCCACTGCGAGGTATGCCCAGAGCTGAGGGCCTGGGGTCCCAACTGGCCTTGGTGAGGCCAGGGCCTGTGTGGCCAAAGATCCCGGGGGGACCACGCCCGAGAGGGGAAATAGTTGCAGGGAGCTAAGCAGCCCAAATGAAGGCAGGGTACGCCGCCAGAATGGAGGGATCTTAGAGGAGTCCAAACTGGAGGATTCTGGGGCCCAGTGTGGGGCTGGTGAGATCAACATCTGCATGCCGTCTGCGAGGCATAGGCTACAGTGTAGGG